TACTTCGAAGACGAATTATCTCTGTCATAGAAATTATAAGATCTACAAACGAAAACCAATAAACTGGCAGAAGAGGCTAGCTGCAAAGGCACAACTTCAAGTGAACATAGAGAAGATGGACGTGATGAAGATATCCACGAATTAATAACAATGAGCACCAATCACCGTCGACGGAAGAAATTTTAATGATGTCACTTCCTTCGCTTGTCTAGGAAGCATCGTTTCAACTACAGGCACAAGAAACGGATGGGGATGTCAAATCCAGCCATGATCGGAAAGGCGAGAGAGGCCTTCATCATTCTGAAATCAGTGTGTCATTCTGCTGTACTCAGCTTAAAGAAAGAAATTCGGATTTTCAACACCAATGTAAAGTCAGTCAGTTCTTCTATATAGGTCAGAAACTTAACCAGCGAGTGACGAAATGCATTCCCAACAGGTTACAGCAAACTTTTGTGAACAGCTGCCTTCTCCCCTTATTGAAGATTAAGTAACCAGAAAGAACTACTAACAAGAAACTCTGGGAACTGACCAACGATGAACCTATTGTTCAGTAGATTATCCGGAAGAAAATGGAAATGGATTGGATAGTCTGTCGAGTGAAACCCGACTAGGAAATGACCAGATGGTCATCCGAGTTTGGCAAGGAGGGGGAGAAGATGAATGACTATGTGTAGTCGTGGTGCCAGCCGAAGAGAATTCAGAGAACAGGATGAAATGGAGATGTGTTGTTGAAGTTCTCTATGTTCCACTCGGAACTCATGGGAACCATAAAAATTAAAAAACTCAAACCAATAAGGATCAATATTCGAAGTGATTAGAGAAATTTCGTTTCATTTCTTTTTAATTAACCTTATTGTTTTGTTGTTTCATTATTCTGTCAATTATTATTTCATTTATGAGAGAGAGAAAAAGAAATGAATCTACCCTGTTGATCATTCATTAACGAATTTTGTTTCCAGTGTTTCCGCCTACTCACTTCTTTCTGTTATTTTTTTAATTATTATTGTAACCACCATATTATCACTATTAGTATTTTGAGTTGTATTCAATAACAGAACTTGTCAGATGTGCCCAACATTCGGTTAAACATTGATTATTCATATATCGTTGTATTATAAATATTATTATTGTTGTTGTTCTTGTTAGTATTATTGATAGTAATGTTAAGGTCTTGTTTAAAGACAGGTTACAAATGGGTCAACAATTTGTTTACATGATTTTCTCCTTTCTTAGACTAGTGATTTTCATTTTATTGTAATGAATAAATAATGTGAAAGAGATATCTTACTAAACAGTGTTGGTAGCGAAAAGAAGAAAGTGATTCAGTAGTACTAGCATGAAACAGTTAATGTATTTGAGGTTGAGTAGTGTTGTTGATTGGGTCAGTTTCTTTTTGATTTAACCAGGTTAACATTTACCTACCACCTGTGTCTCCATCTCCCCAGAAGCTTTCATCCCTGCCAATGGCATCCGGGCTCTCCCCTGCCCCACGATAAACTCGTCGTCTCACATTCCGGTCCTGCTGGTCAGCGTGTGATTTCCACTGAATTCCTCCTCAATGTATATAGAATCCACCTGCATTTCTTTCTGCGCATTTTTTCTAGGGGTATAAGCTCTTGATGGTTTCTCTGGCTTAGTTCCTTGTTGCTTGTCCTTTCTTGCCAGCCATGTTGTCTGAAGTCTCCAGCCATGTCGACTATTGATGAAAGTCTGCAGCAGGCTGTTTGGTGCAAGCCTCTGAACTATACAGAAACACTCACTGACTGAACATTATTCTTGCAAATGTATATCTTTTGCCTTATACTGAGTGCAGTAGACATCTGCATTTCCGATCTTCACATCCTCATATGCGCCAGGTTTAATTGGAAAGAAAATGACAAAGTTGCGTAAATGAAACAGGCAACTTCCTTTTTCATACATTTATTCCCCTTAAATAGTGCCATCGCCAAGCATCTTCTCGACACGGGTCATGAGGTGGACGTTGAAAAGTCGTTCAAAATTATCAAACTCCTGTTGACAGCGGTTGATGTTTATTGTTCTTGACGGAGTATCTTCATCGTCCCTATTTTCTCCATATATATTTTATAATTTTTTTCCTTCACGTTCCCCAGCGGAACATAGGGCTTCAAGCTAGAGGCTTGAAGTTTCTGTAGCAGTGTTTATTTTACAGGATGGGGTTGCTAGCCTCATGCCCAACCTTTCCTCTTCACCAGCATTATTTCTGGCTTAGCGAGGTACAGGAGTGCATCGGCCGGGAATCGAACCCCGGAGCATGTGCATGGTCGGCGAGCGTCCTAACCGCTATACCACCGACGCACTCTATTTTCTCCATGCTCACCTGAAATCTTGTCTTTGCTGTTGCTACTGACAACTTGTTTATGGGACACCAGACATAAATCATCCATAAAATTTAGATCCTTCATGGTGTTTTTGCCTGTCCGATGTATTTCCATCTTTTTAATCCCCAAGGACTGTTGAATGGCCCATTATACCACAATCAGGAATACGATTGCTGATAGTAGGCAGTCTTGTCTTACTCCTGTCTTCACCATAAACGCCTCGATGTATTACTTGGCATACGGCACTTCATAGTGTTAAAGCAGCCACTAAATTACATAAGCGTGTATAAATGCTCATATATTCGTCATCCATACATTGATTTTTTGAGTATCCTTATTAGCATAACAGTAATTTCAGCTGTGACAATCCTACTGATGGTTAATTAGGAAGTACAAACGTATGAACAGTATGAATTTCACATCCTACTATTTAAAAAATGATTAAATCTATGCTAAACCATGCTTTTGTTTAAAATGACTGAAGAAAAATAATAAAATTTCAAGGTCACAGGATAAATAATGCATTAGTTTGTTGACATGGTGATGTAAATGTGTTGTGTGTGTGTCTATAAAATAATAATGATAATAATATAATGTCTGCTGTATTTGTCAAAAAGATAATTTACATTGTTCTTCCTGTTCATTTGAAGCAAAGACTTTCAAATACTTCAGGTCATATTTTCAGTACAACTTGAATTGACTATAAAATCCGGGGTCTGTTTAACTGTTTCATAATATAAGTACAAGTACAACTGAAAAAAAGTGTGGTAATTTATTTAAACCTTTATCAAGTGTACACTATGAGTATCACAGATTATTATTCACCTGATGAGAGACGGTTAACGTTGAAATGAAAATCTGAGTTACGGCAGAATTCGCACCAGCTGATGATCCATGCGGTTGGCCGATCCATCTGCGAAGGATTCCTGTCGACCAGATTATTATATTAATAATTATATTATTTCCCTGGATTCTGAGTGCAGCATAGGGATTCAACAGCACACCTCCACTTTGTTGTGTTCTCTGTGGTCCTCTCCAGCTGGCCCCACGATTGCCCATTAGCTTTCATCTTTTTTTGGTTATAGCTTGAAACCACACCGTATTTTTGGTATAAGTATGGAATTTTCAGCATGTGATGTCGGTAGCCAAATTTTGCAGGCCGACCATAGATATCGGGTGTGCGTCGGCAGGGGATCGAACCTCGGACCATGTGCATGGTCGGCGAGCATCCTAACCACTGTGCCACCGGCGCACGTGATCTTCACATGATCTCCTCCATTCCAACCTCAGACACATGCCCCTTGGGTTCTACTCGGGCGATGACCTGATGCGCGATGGTCTCTTTAGCGTTTGACCTATCCATACCCATTATCTTCGGCATATTTGCTGAGCAATATGCTCTTGGTTGTTCTGCTTCCAAAGTTTCTTGTTGTCAGTTAGATAGTTTTGTGATAATAGACTGTCGACTGATACTATATTTCACAGTGATCCTATCCTTTCATTTGTCGAAGACACAAGGAATCAGTCGGCACAAATCAAAATCCTATCCTTTATTTTTAGCAGATTGACAATACCACAGTCGACGACAGTGACTGCAGTGAAATGGTGATCTGCTTAACAATTGCGTCTTAGTTTATCTAATATAGCGCCAAGCCGGCCTAACTGAAAAACTGCCGTTTTGAATCTCGCTGTAACCCAAATTTTCATTGTACCTTCGATCATTAACTATTATATCTATAGCAGTCTGTCGAACACAAGGAATACCTCATAAAGCCTCACTATAAGTTATCGTTTAAATAATGATTACAATTTCTTATAATGATCATTAGTAAAGTAGACAAAATGATGAATTGTTACATATCATTATTAAGGGATTATAAGCCAACAGATGACTGACAGAAATAGTCGCAGGGGAGAACTCCTGATGAGACCAGAAAAAAGACGAAACACTCCACTGGTAATACATGTGTTAGATTATGGTTTTTTATAGGGATTAATATTAATTTCAATCTAGATTTTATCTGAAACCAACATCAGTTAGAGATAACTAAAAATCGGGGAGCCCTAGTTAGCTGTTTCGTTCTATCTTTTGGGTCTCTTTAGCAGTATGCACTTATAACGCCACCAAGGATGAAACCTGAAACCTTCAAGTAACGAAACGAAGCTCATTAACCATACATTCATCGAATTCCTGCCCTAATGGCTGTATGGTCCATGAGCCTTGTCTCGTAACCTGAAGGTACCAGGTTCGATTCCTAGAAAGTTCACTGAAGAGTCCCAAAATAGGACGAAATCGTCATCCAGTACTCCGTGGTTTATCAATGATCACCAACTGAGGTTGGTTCTTGACGAAATCTACGTTGAAGTACGTATTACTTAGGATTTTTGAAATAACTAATTCTGTGGTAGCTGTGATAATACCGATCTAGGATACCTTAAGTACTTATCACTGATTCATTTACAAAAGATTAACTAACCGCTACGATGTGCTGAGCCATTACGGATTAGACACTTGGCACACACATACTTTGGCTGTTTGAAAAAAAGCACCCTGTTTGACAGACCGCTGAGATAAAGATATCCACTGAACGCTAATCATTACTCTAATAATAAATTAAAATTGAAATCTGATAAAAATTTTAAAATATGAATATTACTCACCACTACGAAACTCATTGTTTTGATTAGATTTTATTGGTAAGGATGATCTGGCTGGTGGTAATGAGACTGGAGTAACAGGTAACTTGAACACCCCACCAGGTAGTAGAGTTAATTCTTTCTGACTCCCATCATTACGCCCATCATTATTCTCCAGTGAATAGGTAATCCATTCATATCGTTTTCCTCTTTCTAAATTAGGCAAACACTCATCCGCATTTTTGTTGTTGTCATTATTATTATTATGAGTATTACTATTCCCATCATTGCTTACTGGTGTATCTCTTGACTGAATCTTATTCACATGAACTAATTCATTTAGATGGATTTGTTGAACATTTCCAACTGGTTGTCGTAGAATTTTTGTGATTTTAACAAAAGCATTTAAATTATCATAATTTTTACCATCATTATTATTTAATATTACGCCTTTATCGATTTGTATAATTTCACCTTCAAATCTATAGGTATTTTTGGAATTTGATAATGCTACCAACTGTTCACGACTTAAACAAATCCATGTCGATGCTGTAGTCTGTTGATTTGTAACAATTAAGGTGATAAAACTAAAGATAACAGTAATATATGCAGTGTATAACAGAATAGATGATGACGTTGTTGATAACAGGGGATATGATGTAATCCTCATTATTATCATCATCAAGATTTAGGTCAAATCTTCTTTTGTCATGAGTATAAATTCCAGAATCATGAAAATGAGTTTATAGCAAATTTGAAGAATTTTTATTTTTGACTATTCATTGAAATCACCACTTATAAAATAAAGGAAAAATGGAGAAGCGAAAACAGGATCTCACTTTTTTTTGTTCTTTATATAATTTTGAATAAACGTGTTGATGTTATTAAATCCAAACCACTAATGAACATTGATCACTGAACATAAATTAAAATAGATCCTTGCTATAATAATAATAGTAATAATAACAATTATTATTATTATTGAGATTTAGTTTGAATTATTGGTTGAGTACATTTTAAAGTGTTTTTTTTTCTCTTTCTTTCAAATGAAAATATACATTTTATATAGTATTTCTAAACATTCATTGTTTTATTACACAACATTGTTTAGACATAATAATGTATGTGTGAATGAATACAGATACACACAGATCTGCGCATAAACGCACATTTAAAAGTTAACTGGCAGCATAGATAGATAGACAGACAGGCAGGCAGATAGACAGACGTACACAGACTCAATTTATTATTAATATATATATTATCTTATACATAAAATTGTAGAAATATGTGGGTGTTTAAAATATTTCAAATTTTTACTTTAATACGCACGTACGTACGCACGCACATTTGCACAAATATACTTGTACACAAAAATGTATCATCTTTCTTCAAATTGATTGTTTGTTATATATATAATCCACTTTAGCCTCTACTCTGATTTGCTTACCTTGAAAATTGCACTGTTCACCACAGTAGAGTACCTTTAGTTTCTCTAACAGACTAAAATTCCACAAACGAGAAAAAGAGTATTCAGCGAATGATATTATAAATTAATCCAAATTTTACTTCATTTGACTTTTTGTTGCTGGTCTTGTTATTGTTGTTGAGATTTCTTCATTTTCTAACTGACAACAACAAATAAAGAACGTCTTTTCAAATCACAAAAAATATAAATGTATAATACATTATTATAATCATCAAAGTCGAATGATGAAATTATCATCAAGTGAATTGCTTTTAAAACAAAAGTATGTATTTGTGCATGTATTGTGCGTAATTGTTTATCATATAAAGAAAACTAGACACACAAACACACGCAAGCACAGAGATAAAAACACTCAGAGATACTCAGTAAATTAGATATCAATAAAACTTCAAGTAGTAATGCGGTTATGATGAGTACACGAGCAAATAACCGTATATATATATATATATATATATATATAAATATATGTATATATATATATATATATAGCACAAGTCCAGGTGTTCTGTTATATATTATGTTGATTTCAAAAATCCGTCAATTTCATTGGTTAAGTAGGTGAAATCGAATATAAATATTTAGTCCTATAATTGAGTGGGTGCGTTTGTATATGTATATATATATATATGCTTGCTAGTGACTGGCTGCAGGACGAAGTTGCCTAGAGATCTATTGAGAAGTCGTGACCAGTGGGGTCCATCCAGTCGGGAGTGAGTATTGATTTCCAGCCGGTGATATTGGTTGGTAGTCGTGCTAAAATCTCGAATTTAGAGAAGCAAGAATTTAGGGGCCATGGAATCAGGCCTCAGTGGATGAATGGTGGACGAGCGAGCCTTGTGATTGGAAGGTCCTGGGCTAGAACCCCAGGGGGTGCGTACTGCCAACGAATTCCAAACTAGGATGAAACAGCTGTCCAGTACTCCCTGGTTTTTTCAATGGTTCTCTAACTGATATTAATGCGTGGTCTCACCTGAAAAAAAATATAAATATATATGTAAATTTTTGAACTTGCCACATGACACTTTTGTTGCAGAGATGATGTCGCAATTTTACAGTAACAGTTAACTTTCCATCCTTACACGGTTGGGTGATAGGAATAACAGTGATATTCTTTATTCACAAACAGAACTTATGATACAACGTACGATTCTCACTATTTATTATTATTATTATTCCCTTGGGTTCCTAGTGGAACATAGGGCTTCAACTGCACGTCTCCACTTGCTTCTGTCTTCTGCTGTACTTTTCACCTGCATCCATGTTAGTCCATACTATTTCAGCTCCTCTTCACATGATCTCCTCCATGTCACCCTTGGACGTCCCACTCGCCGCTTCCCTTTCGGGTTCCACTCGAGCTATGGCCTGACGCGCGATGTCACCCAACGGCTTCCTCAGCGAGTGTCCAATCCATCTCAACTTTCTCCTGCATATTTGTTGAGCGATTGGTTCTTGTTTTGTTTGTTCCCACAGCTTCTTGTTGATGATTCTTTCCGGCCATCTAATCTTCAGTATGGAGCGAAGACAGTTGTTGATAAAGGTGTGCAACAGGCTGTTGGAAATGTTCTTTGTGACACACTGGCCAAGTTTCTGATCCGTATAGAAAAACTGACTTGACGTTTGTATTGAAAATCCGAATTTTGTTGTTGATGCAGGCTGAGTGACGAAGATTTTCAGATTGGTTTCAGGTTGATGAATATGTTTCTCGCCTTCCCAATTCTCGATTTGACATCCTCGTCCGTTCCGACTGCCTGTAGTTGAGACAATGCTCCCTAGATAAGTGAATGAAGTTACCTCTTTCAAATCCCTCCCGTTCATGGTGATGGGCGCCTGATGTTGCTGCTGTAGTTGTTGTTGGTTTTACTCAAAAATAAAATACCTCGTGCAGGTAACTAAATTCGATGACAGAAACCTTTTCGGCTTCAACAGCAACAATAAAGTCAAAAATGTACAAAAAGTATAAAATGATAATAATATGAATAACTAAAGTTTCTAAGATAACTGAGATAGTGTCACTATAAATTACAAATAGGAGAAGATCACGGAGCCATTTATTTAGCTGATAACATAGTGAGTTATAAGTTCCACGCTTAACACTATCTCTATCACATAGAAAAAGGGACAGGTAGGAGTATCGTTGGGTTTTTGTCCTTACTTGTGACAGCACATAATCTTTTACAACGACTTCTAGTTCTACCTGATGAGTTACAAGGGGAGATTTGTGAATAGAGAGGGAACTGAGAGTCAGGCTACATGAATTGGGACTACTTCTCAAATGAGTTCAGGTGTCTGTCGACTTTAACAGTAGCCAGTTGACTTAGTGGAACACCACTTGACTTATTAACAACCTTAAACACCCTACACACAATGACGTATTCCTTTCTGAGTAACCTAGAAAAGACTATGGATGAGAAATAAGGGACGACAGGTAGGATGCAAGAGTTAACAGATTGTACAAGAAGAGGGTGAGTTATTCCTGACTGTCATAACTGCTTAATGCAGTAGGTTAGTCGGAAGACTTCCCTAGAAATTGACAAGATATGGGATGACCACGAAATGTTTGAGGAAAGGACTATTCACGGGTACTTAATGCTTGACTTAGTTTCTATTCCAGTGCCCTCTGTGCTACAAGCATCATGTGAACGAACCAGTTCATGTAGATCTCGTTGATGCCTGACGGTTAACTCTCAAACGTTTACATGGATTCAGCGTGCGATCATTTAGCCTGCACCACTGACTGATGTTTGACGAAAAACTACTCAGTCTAGAACGGTCATATCGGCATGCAACTGGTAACGAGACAGTCATATCCTTAGCATATTTGACAGAGTTCATTTTATCCGAAATAGATAAGTCATGTAAGAAGAAAGAAGAGAGCAGAGGAGGCAGAGCAGCACATTGAGGGACACCGATGGCAGTGGGCAAGGCAGAGGCAGATTTGCCCTTATATTCAGAATACTCCATTCTGTCAGATGAATAATAATTCAAGCAATTAACAGCCCAGGAATACTCTGTTTGTCCAGGGAAAGCTTGATTAACAAAAGACATTTGAGTACAGAGTAAAAAGGTTTCAGAATTCGTCGACTGGGAATGGAATTCAAACCTGTGGTGTGTCTGACAAGCTTATTTAACTGATGGTAATTTGTAGTGTAATCCACCTTGAACTTCTTAAATGTTAATTCCAGAAGTATTTAAGTGACATCAACAACATTTGGCCGCAAATTTGCTGAAAACCAGGACATGTCTCTGAGAATCAGTTTCATATGACTGCTTTAGCAATCGGCCACTGTGTTTGTCAGAAACTTAAGAAGTCTTCTGTAGTTATTTTGTGAGAATATGATCCAAGTGTGATCACGGATTGATGTCACACCAAGAAACATTGGAAACCACCAAGGAGTACTAGACAGCTGTTCCTTCCTAGTTTGAGACTCATCGTCAGTACACACTCACTATAAGGGTCCAAACCCAGGACCTACCAGTTTCAAGTCAAGCTCGTAGACCATTCAGCCAATGGGACCCAACTCAGTGGCCTACTCATGAATTATATCATCTGCTGATTCATGGTTTTTAGTTCTACCACCAGCCAGTGTCATGGGCAAGTATTTGTGCTGACCTCTGACCTGATGAGCCCCACTTTTCATGACTTCTCACTAGGACTCCAGTCAGCTTCGTCCTGTAGGCAGTCACTAGACAGCATCTGATTAATCTTTAAGAGATAGTTCGTAGGGGTTCAATTTGTATCAAGTCTGACCACAGATGAGTCCCAAACTAGGACGAAACAGCTGCCCATTAGTCCCTAGTAGTTTTCAGTGGTTCTCTAACTGTATCAACCTAAAGTCAAACTTAACTCATTCTGCTCACAAACTCAGGTTAATGGATTTAATTTACTTGGTTGACGACTGAAAGTGAAGCGAAGATCTGGGTCATTGTCGGAGACCGGAACTCTAAAAGATGAGGTATAAGACTCGAGTGCCATTCACGTCATTATTTCATTGCAGTCATCAATAATAATGTCCAGTTTCCGAGTAAATTATTGTCCGTTTATTACTATTCCTGACACTGATTAAGTAACGGGTAGTCTACACAGCCAGGGTTACTTTGTATGTTTTCACCATCAATCAAAGAGTAATTAGCCGTAAACTTGATTATATGTGTTAACACTATTTTTCGATAGGCATATGAAC